ATCTTTCGAATTATGCAGCTGCACACATTCATCTTAGCGTGTTTTTCAGTGTCTGTGGACACAGGGTATAGATTTTCTTTTAAACTTCTATGGCTGATTGCTTTGCTCCTACATTGTTCTTCAGTTTATTGCTATTATGTCAGTTTGATCAAAGAAAAAGAAGTAAATATTACATATATTGTGAGGATCAATGTTCAAACAGGTCATGTTTTTGATGCAGTTGTAAGTGCCATGTTTGATTGTGATATTTGCCTGTAAGTTGCACAATTGTGAGTCATTATGTTGCTGTGTATAATTAAATGAAAATGAAAAAATAAATGTAATGCTTATTATTAACAAAATTCATGTGAAGCAGCAAAGTTAATAAATTCAAATATAAAGTGTTTTTTTCACTGACTTAATTTCATGGATGCAAATACAAAACAACAATTCATTGTTCAGGGTAAAGTACTACTTTAATAGATATAAATCAGATTTTTATCATATATATTAGTTCTTTAGACAAATTTTAAACTGCATTTTTGTACATAGTTTCCATAAAGACAATGATGAATCTGTGCCTGTCATAAAAACTGACAACAAATGGATCAGAGCCACATCTGTATGTTTTAAAGAACAATCTAGTGAAAGCTAGCTTGCTGTGACAGTTGACTCTTTAGCTGCATCGTAACAAATGCAATGTACTGCAGGCTCACAGGTAAACAATTCTATCAGTACTTTCAAAGTCTTAAAACTGTAAATTTTCTGTGGATTTAGAATTGATAAGTTGACTGTGTTGTGCCCCCTGGTCTGACAGGTGGCTGGGAGGTGTGCAATCCTAGATCCTGCAGCTGTGCATTAAAATAAAGAGGCACAGATCATGAGCTTGTTTACAGTTTCAACTGCAGGATTTATTCTGCAGATTTGCCTCCGAAGAGGGTTTACGTTCCTCCTGAGCATTAGGCGCCATCTAGTGGTATCTTTAAGTAATGCCATAGAACATGTAAAGTGTTGCAGATAACACTGATTCAGCAAATATAATAAGACATAATAAGCACAAAAAAATATAACGGGGGTGTCCCTTTTTTTTACCTTGTTTGAAGACATGAACTGAACTTAAATCCCCATAAGTTATGAATGCTATTCTATTCTATTCTATTCTATTCTATTCTATTCTATTCTATTTATATAGCGCCAAATCACAACAACAGTCACCTCAAGGCGCTTTATATTGTACAGTATATCCTATAATAATACATATGGTGAAAAACCCAACAATCATATGACCCCCTATGAGCAGCACTTTGGC